ATAATAATTAAACATTCTGTTGAAACTCAATAATTATCTTAATTATATTTTAGATTTTCTATATTTAAAATGGTTGGTTATCATGTATTTAATTATGTTTACCAACAGTTAGTTACAAGAATTTAAAATTGGAGTTTTAATAAGTTGTACTTACGCAAAATTATTTGTAATCTTAAATTTTAAGTAATATGCATCAATAAATAGTACTTCATGCATAAAAAATGATTTCTAAGAGTTTTTGTTAAATGTTTTATAATATAGTATATATATATATATATAATAATTATAATATATTTAATTTTAATAAAAAATGGTCCGAGAAAAATATAAGTTGAAGTTTCCTCCGTTAAGGACAGGGATCTAACTCGTAACAAAGTGACATTCAGCGTACTTATCTTAAAAGAGGGCGCATACCCAAATTCTAAGCAAACAACGACGACCTATACTCCTATAGTGTAATGTACTTTTTTCTATGACAACTTTGTCAAGATTTTGTCCATTTTAGACCTTACACCAGAAAACTAAACTTTAAAAGAGAGTTTAGCAAAAGAAAATTTGCAAATTCATGGATCATATTTAAATAAACCAAATATATACCATATTATAAAGCATTTATGCAGAACTCATAAATATAAATTATAATACATAACGTACTAATTTTTAATGCTGATTTCTTATAATTTAAGGGATTGTTTGGATCATAGGAATTGAAAGGAATTGGAATGTCCAATCATTTGACCAAATTCCAAATATAGTGTTTGGTTCATGGAATAAGACTATGAAATCCTTTCAATTCCTTCATGCATAGATTTTACAATTCCATGGCAATATGCTAGGATTTCAATTCATTTCCTAAAATTCCTTCCCTAATCCAATTCCGTTAAGAATTTTATTCCAATTCCATGCAACCAAACACAATCACAAGACATGGTCAAATTCCATTAGATTACATTTCATTCCCTCAAAGTCAAATTCATTTGATGAATTCTAATTCTATCGAATTCCATTCTACGAACCAAACGCCCCCTAAGAGTACAAACTAATAATGCATTTGGTACAAGTTACTAAAGCTTCTAAATTTTAGTTATCACCCCTAAACCCACCCATAATGTTCATCCATATTCATTTTCCTTAAATATATTTCTAACTGACTAATATTGATAAGGATCAATTCTAATCAATGTTTATCTCAATTCTTTATTTCTTTGTTAGTATTTGCTTATTTATATCTCTACAAAACTAAATGACTTTGACTTCTTCATCTATGTTTAATTCTTCAAAATCCTAGATCTTTGGACCGTATTTTCCTATCTCTATTCTTGAACTAATTTTGATTTTGATCTTTTTGTTGGCAGATGCATTATTAACATTTTTACAACTCAAGAGTTCAAGCCTCATCAAAGGTAAAGTATAAACTTGAAAAAAAAGAGTGATACTTGTACCGATATAATTTTGATTTTGATCTTTTGTCGGCAGATACACAAGTTAATTATGGTGACTTATTGGATTATATGTATTTTCATGCTATAGTATAGGAAGGTTAAAGTTTCGTATAGTGGTAAATTTTGGTGGATGTCTGTTTTGAATACGGCCATGACCTATTATTTATACTATATTAGTTGTGTACCCGCGCAATGCAGCGGGAGTCATGAATTTTAACGATTTTGAAGTTCTWCTGGTTTTATAAGATAAGATTTAACGATGATATAGGTTACACTTGGTCTTTACATATTAATACAATTTGAATAAATAAGAGTTATGGTTCCAATTACAGATTATCGATGAAAAAAATTGTATGACAGTTTAAAATCCAATATATTTAAAATCCAAYATATTTAAACGACTCCACAAATGTRTTCGATTTACACCAAGAGCAAAGAACCAAGAAACTTGAGTTTTAAGATAAACACTCAAAACCAATAAAGAAAACTACAAATTTGACAGATCATAAGCCATGAAAAGACCAAAAAAGATGGGTTTTAGAATGAAATTTCAACTGCTTACCCTCTTTTTTGTCCAGAAACTCATATTAAGGTTGAATTAATATATGTATATATATATTTCAAAAAAACCCAAGAACATATTAATTCAGAACATATTATACGGTGCAATTTGGACAGCCTAACCCCAAAATATATAATATATATAAATAAATAACTATAAAAGTATAAATCGTAAATATTAAAAATATTTTTTCACAGTATATATAATATATAATAATACAATTAAGTCAAAAACTATTCAATATTAGACTTATTTGAAGGTATTAACGAGACGATTATAATGGTGTAACTTGTTAAAATAAAAATATATTTTTTAAACATGTTTTAATTGATATACGATTATGTATGTTAATTTGATAAATGTTTAAAATGAAACATTTAAAAGTAAAGGACGTAAAGTAAATTAATTAACTAATTATAGGAGTATAAAGTGTAAATTTAAAATTATAATTTTAAAAAAATCGGTTCAAATATGAGAGAAAAAAGTGAGGTAGTATAGATAAAGGTATCTTGGTCATTTAGTATTTTAAGACTTTAAGACTTTTGCTAAATTTGCTTTATAAGATAGTATAGATTATAAATGATTTGAAAAAAAACTCTTAAAAATCATTTTCGATGCATTAAATATTGTTTATTGATGCATATTATTTAAAATTCAAGATTACAAGTAATTGTAAAATTTTATATTTGAAATAATGTAACTAACTGCAGATAAACATAATCAAATATTATATAAGTATCTCATTGTGAACATAAAAAATCTAAAATTTACTTAGAATTGAATTCTAACAAAATACTAATTATTATTTTTATAAAAATAAACTATATTATTAAACCAAAAATAAATGCTTTTATTATTAAATCTATTAAAATAATTAGTTTGATACTAATATCGATATAATTTTTTTTAAATTATAATATTTTATTCAAAAATAAAAACAATATCGATTTCTCAAAACTATATAAAACCAAATTATATCGACATAGATAAAAAATAAAACAAAACATTAAAATCGAGATATGTTTCAATACATTGCACGAGTATCTTTTTGTAATAAATATAATGGAAGAAAGTTAACATAGTACATGATCCACCCCAACTCATTCATACCCGAACATCAGAAATAACCCTTTATCGGTAATTTGAGGGGGAAAAACAAAGATGATAATGTAAAAGTAAATGATTCATATATGAATAATTGAGTAAAGAATATGGAATTAATAAAAAGATGAATAACCTATAATTCACTGATGAATCATTTATACCTTTTGCTTTCATTTCTTGTTCCAAAACGTCAAATGGATCATACATAATATAAGATGTATGTATGCCAAATGCCAAATATTGAATTGGATCGCAGCATACTTCCTACCAAGAACACTAGTGCAAACATTATGCCAGAAAAAGATTGCAGCAGAACTAAACACATCGAGTATAACAAGAACACAGGCTAGTTGACAACAAAACATCAAACTTAACTCAAAAACTTCAATAAAAATCCTTAAAATTGAACAATTCTCTCAAAACCCAAAAAAATAATGTAATACTTAGCAGACTTAACTTTCCTCTTGGATTTTAGCCTTGTCACTCACGTAAATACCGTCAAGAAACTTCCGGATATCCTTGTTCTTCACATGACATTTCTGCATATACAAGACCATGTCTTAGCTCACACAAAAATTAATGTTTGACAAACCCTAGACCCTCATAGTTTACACGCAAGTTTTAACAGTACTGTCTAGTGAGGGGGTGTTTGAAATTGCTTCTTTGAAACAACTTATGCTTTTCTACAAAAGCACTTATCAACTAATTATAAGTTTAGAAGGGTTTAACTTATTCAAAAACTCCTTATTACCGGTTTGGCACCGGGATAAGTTGTTTATCCAAACACTCAAAAATGCTTATTACCAGTAGCACACCGGAATAAGTCAATAAATTATTTTTATAAGCAATCCCAAACACCCTCATTATAATGGATATGGATGTCCTGAAACAGATATTAAGAAGCAAGACATACATGAGGGATTTTGGATATGGAGAAATAAAGGGTACCTGGTTTATTAAAGCACAAGATCGCGAAACAAGCTCAATATCATTTCCATCCAGAATAAGTTCATCCTTGACTTTCTCTGATCTGACTACGGTCACACCATCAAGCATATCGACCTTCCTCACCTGTTCATCAACAACAACAATTTAAGCCATAGAAACATATCCCACGGGATAAAACCAAGCAGTATATCCCACTTGAAAGTAGACTCTAGGGCCACAAAGAGCAAGGCGACTACTAATTAATAAAAAACAAGTAGATCATAGGTTGCTACAAGAAAAGCTCCAAGATCCAATCACCCTAAAAAACACAATTTCAAAATAGTTCTGAATCCTACATATTAACTTGAGAAACAACAAAGAAGGATCAGTAAGTCGTATAAAAATTCTCTATACAGAACTTCTTTCCTTGCACACAAATTAAATCCAAACCCACAATGCATAACAGCATTCAAAACCCAAATGATTTAGTCTTACTGAGAAGCAGCTGATAAACATAAATGACTATTAACAAAAACGAAAGCATGTCTGCTTTAAAATCTCCATTCCAAATGTTAAGAAGTAAAACTGAAAACAGTGAAGTCCAGAACAGCAATTAGATAAATGTTAAAGTCACTTTTAGGAACATACTTGCATGACTACAATATCAAAAAATATATGTGCGATTCAAGATTAAGCAAGAATCTTGAGATACACCAAGATAGGAACATTGGCCACCAGCTATCATAACTTCAGTTTTGAACCTCTATCTTGAAAAATATCCCTAAGCTCCCTCATTAACAATATTAATAAAAAAATTAACGTGTAACATTTTCTTGAAACCAGTCAGAAAAAATAACCGAATAATGAGAAATAAAAACATAAGCCAAAAATAAATTGTCACTCTCATGTAAATTTTGGCAATATACGATATGCCCCATAACATTAATAATCATTGTCATCCGAGTAAAACTGGCAACATAACACAAGACACCAAAATGAATCAAGTATATGCGGCAAAAACATGGAGGCTGGGACGAACCTAGTATAGTGGTTACGGTGGCACGTGCCACCGTATTATTCCTCTGTCGAAGAGTAAAAAAAATTTAGGCTTGTGAAATGTGCAACCGTATTAATTTGTTGTGTGCCACCGTACGTATTTGAAACTACAATGAGAACAAATTTTATTTGGTTGAGTTGGTTTGCAAAGGGTTTTATTCCAACCCAGACCCAAGTTCGAATCCTGATAGGGTCATTTTCTTAGTCAAATGGTGTCAACGTTTGAAAAAAATTTCGTAAATTTGTTTCTTATAGTCAAACAGTCAGTTTGAAAAAATTTCCCTATATATTTTTCTTATAGTAAAATGGTGACACCGATTAAAAAAAACCGGCTCAATTTTCCCTGCATGGATGTCAATTTTAATTTCTACTCATATTTGAACACAGATATCAATGGTGGAAAATTTTGACTGTTGAGCATCAAATAAATAAAGGTCATTATGGAATAAACAAAAATTGGAGTCATTTAGATAAATGACCTTAAATGAGTTTTTTTTTAAATTCATGAACTCCTGTCTATATAAGAAAAAATGGGTTTATACTCACAGAACGTCATGAATTTAATTAAAATCCCATTTAAGGTTATATACCTAAAGATCTCACAAAAATTGCATCTGCAAACTGAAGGTAACTCGCAAAGACGATGGATTGTAAATGTGTATGCAATTAGAATTAACACATGAATCAATATATATAAATATATATATATACATATATATATACGAAAAGCATACAGAAGCATGATTAACAGAACAGCAACGAAATCTAACTTCAAAAATCAAATGATAAAAGCAAGGAATAGAGTATGTGTTGACCTTCTTTTCCCCAAGAAAATTACGGATCTCGATAGCGGTGTTGCCGTTAGTGATACTGGCGTTGATCGGAAAGTGAGCATACACAAAACGCATCTTGTACCGGTACCCTTGAGTCACGCCATTGATAAGATTATTAACATGACTGAGTGCAGTACGGATGGCGGCGGTAGTCTTCCTAGATCCAAACCAAGCATCAACCTTCAGCTTTTGCTTTCCGGTCTCCTCGTCGGTGATAAGCTGGAAATCAAGATTGAGATGCTTGAAATTGCGAGTGAGAGTGCCCCTTGGGCCTTTCACTTCAATCACCTTGGCCTTCACTTTGATCTCCACACCTTCCGGGATGTCCATGGTCTCCGATGACAAAATCGTCTTCATCTTCCCTCTTGATGCTCACACTGATACAGAGGAAGTAAGATTTTGGAGGCAATGAAACCCTAGAAAATGAAGAACACTATATATATTATCAATGATTCAATGGATATTGATTTTGCTGGCTGTTTTAGGGTTATTTAAATGGGCCAAGATTAGTAAGCCCATTAAAACAAAACATTGGGCTATTTCAGATTTTAAATGGGCCAATAGCGTTTCCCGTTCACTAATTACCAAAAGTTTGAGTAAATACGTTTTTAGTCCCTGTGGTTTGTTGAAAGTTTCTTTTTTTGTCCTTATGGTTTTACAATTATAATTTTCATATCTATGGTTTATAATTCATCACCTTTTTCATTTTTATGATTTAAAATTTATTGGCTTGTTCGTCTTTATATTCTACAAGTCATTTCTCTTTTAATTTTTTATATTTTTTTAATAGTTTTTGATCTCATGAACGAAAATAAAAATAAATTATAAACTATAAAAATGAAAATTGAAATTTTCAAACCATAGTGACAAAATCTGTAATTTTTAATAAAATATAGGGATGAAAAACATAATCAACTCCACAAATTTTTTATAAAATAATATGCATGTTTACATACATTTTCTTTCAATGATCAAATTAGAATGTACGTATATATTTCTTTTATTATAAATTAATATATATATACATTTTCTTTTATGATACTCTTATTTTTCTAGTTTTCAACAAGTAGATTCGGACTTATATTTAGGTAAAAAGTTGATTAAAGACAATTTAATTGGCTTCACACAAATTCATTTCTAAAGACATCAATGTGAAGGGGTATTTATTGACTCATTCAACAGTTAGAGGTAGCAAAGGGATTCGATATAGAACCCGTGACTTGTCTTCTATTTAGATAAAGTCACCTTGCCCTTTTTGTCAACTAAACTACATGTCGAGGGTAGGGTCGGACCTATATAGGAGCATACAATGACACAGGGCAACGCTTCATGGTTTCATCCTAATGGATTTCCTGTGTCTCTCTCTTCAAGTGTTGTTAGTGGATCAAAATGACCTCACTAGCTATAAAGATGTTGCATCAAGTCCTGAATATGATAAATTGATTGAAGCCATGAACGTAGAGATGCAGTCCATGTATGAAAATCAAGTATGGGACTTGGTTGATCTTTTTTCCAACAACAAGCCTGTTGGAAGCAAATGGATCTTCAAGAAGAAGATCGACATGGATGGAAATGTGCATATTTTTTAAGCACGTCTAGTAGCAAAGGGTTTCACACAAACTCATGGTATTGACTCTGATGAAACATTCTCTCCAGCCATGCTTAAATCTATTAGAATATTGATTGCCATGGCCGCTTGTTGTGAATATGAAACATGGAAAATGAATGTCAAAACGGCTTTTCTCAATGAACACTTAATTGAAGATGTCTACATGTGAACAGCCTGAACGTTTTGTCAACGTTAGGTATCCTAATAAAGTATGCAATCTTAAAAGATCTATTTATGGATTAAAACAAGCATCTCGAAAATGAAACCTTCGTTTTTATGAGATAATCAAAGAGTTTGGTTTTATAAAAAATGAAGACAAGTCATGTGTTTACAAGAAAGTTAGTGGGAGTGCGGTAGAAGTTTTGGTCTTGTATGTAGATGACATACTTCTCACTGGAAATGATATCCCAATTTTGCAAAGCCTAAAGTCTTGGCTTGGGAAAATGTTTTTCAGTGAAAGACCTTGGAGAAGTTGCTTACATCTCAAGGATAAAGATCTATGAAGATAGATTCAAGTAGCTTATTGGCTTGAGCCAAAGGGCATACATAGACAAAGTATTGAAAAGTTCCAGGATGCTATACTCCAAACATGGTTTCTTGCCAATGTCACAAGGCATAGTTTTGAGCAAGTCTCAATGCCCTGTCAGAAAATCTAATATAGATCGAATGAGTTAAGTTCCATGTGCCTTTACAATTAGATCCATCATGTATGACATGTTATACACTAGGCCTGATGTTTTGTATGCTTTGAATGATAAGAATGTACCGGCAAAATCTAGGTGAAAGACATTGGATATAAATCAAAAGCATTGTAAAGTACTAACAAAGGACTAAATATATGTTTTTGACACATGGAGGATTAAAAGAAGACCTTGGTGTAAAGTGTTACATGAATGCTAGATTCCAAACTGATCGAGGTGATACTCGATCATAATCCGACTTTGTTTTCATTACAAAGGGTGGAATGATAACTTGGGAAAAGTTCCATGCAAAAGGTAGTTGCACAATCTACTACATAAGATGAATGCATTGCTACCTCGGAAAGCATCACAAGAAATGGCTTGGATGAAGAAGTTCATTGTTGATCTAGGAGTGGTTCCAAACATTAAGGACCATATAAAGATCTTATGTGATAACGCATATGACATTGCACAAGCAAAAGAACCTATATCACATCACAACACTAAGCATATCCTCATGAGATTCCACTACATTTATGAAATAGTAGAAAAAGGAGATGTGTGTAGCCACAAAGTTCACACAGATCATAATCTGGCAGCTCCATTCATGAAGCTTTTACATCAGTTTAAGCATGATGGACATGCTATATCTATTGGGATTCAGCTTGCGAGTGATTAGATATAAGATTTTATTTTAGTACCTGGATATTTTGGAACGTGTAAGCGACACTTGGTTATTTTAAATATGATATGTTGATAAATAGTTATAATTAGTTAACAATTGTTGTGTGTTATATTAGCATGTTTAAAATCCATGAATAAATTAGTTATTCGAAGTAATCCATAGTTAGTTATAATTTTAATAATAAATATGAATTAAGACTAATGAGAATTGGTTGGTTGATTTTCATGGATGATGAAAGTGGGTGATGGATGCAACTAAAATTTGCATGTGTTTTTTAGAGAACAAACATTGGATAAGACCCACTTTTAATATCACTTCATGGATAATGTCATAAGTAACTCTCGAGAACGAGATAATTATCCTTAGACCTGATATACATATTGGTTTTTTCATATGAGGAACGTCATATCTTAATTTGGTCAAACATTGATTTAACATGCAGTTATAAAGGCCAGTGTTAGGCATGATAGATATATATATTGAAAGCATATGTATCAAGATGGAACTTGTTCCTTTTCATTTGATGAAAGAGTGACATCTCTGGGGTCCTCGATGATTCTTAAGTGATGAAAATGTATGAACATGCTAAAACTAAGGGGCCGTTTACCAAACACTTACCTTGTAAGTGCTTGCCGGTAAAATCTATTATTTACTTACTGTGTAAGATCTTAGTCCACCAAAACGACATCGTATGCAACAATTTACCCGGTAAACGCTTACCGTGGTAAGAGTCGTCGCCCTCACTTACCCGGTAAGACTCTTGGTCCTTGTCTCACTCTTACCGGGTAAGATTCTTGGTCCTTATCATATTCATCCGGTGAGGTAATGTGACTCGATAAACGCTTACCCGAATAAGCGGTTGGTAAACGACCCATAAGTTAATTTGTTCAACAATGTTTACTTTATCATTTAAATCTCGATCGAGAAACATACTAGTTGAACACCATATGAGAACGATCTGATCCATGTCTCATGTTTCAATGGGATGTTGTAACAAATGGTTAATAGTGTTATTACTTGTAACATTAATAAGAAGCTCGTGAGTTAAAGATCATTTGACATTAAAGGTAGCTTTTTCGTTGCTTATTAGAAATAGTGACATATTGCTAGATGTTTACCACTGTTTGTATCGTGATGTATTGTGTAATATGCAAGTGGGAAATGGTTGGATTTGTATAACCATGACACTGCACTTGACGATACGGCTAATGATACACGATCTCATAGGATCATACACATACAAGCAAATTCACCTAAATATTACAATCGAATACGATTCGATTGTTTTCAATCCAAAACAATTGTCATGCAAATTATTAGTTAATCAAAATAATAATTTAAAATAATGATAAATATTATATATATATATATATATATATATATATCTTGACTTGTGTTTAAGTATATTATGTATTTGATAC